GGGATTTTTACAATAACATTGTAAACCTTATAGATTTTAGTCTGGAAAATAACACAATTTTTAAGTACAGCATGTGCAGGTGCATGCATAGAGCACAAAAAAGAATATTGTTGAATATATATGTTTTCCATAATCTTGTTTCTCTACTGTAGGAATGACTATGAGGAACTAGCAAAGCAGTGCAAGATGTTTGCCAAGGATCTTCTGGCCCAGGCTCGAAACTCTAGAGAGCTCGAAGTGATTCTTAATCACACTTCCAGCGAGGATCAAATTGACAAGAGGGGCCTTTTGGAGGAGCGCATGAACCTTAGCCGGCTTAAACTGGCCATCAAGTACAACCAAAAAGAGGTAGGTTGTAGAAAGTATTTCAATAAAGGCTTTCAGATTTCATTTCTGCTATAAGTTATCTCCAATTCATTACATTAGCTGTCATATTTTTTCTGCCACAGCAGCACATTATGTCTTTGGGGGACAAAAGTTTGGCAACTCAAAGTGCTTCCTCCAGGCAGCAGAAGTAATGGATAAACTAAAGCTCTAAGTTTAAAGCTGCTGACTGATTTATAGCCTATAAGGCTTCATATGAAAAATGTGACTCATCTATCATTGTACAGCTAGCAGCACAGTCCTCCCTGCTTGAATAAAACCCCAAAACATTATTAAAGCTACTTGAAAGGCTGCAGATCAGAAACGTATTTATGCAGGAATCATGGTAAAAAAATTAAACAAAGATTTATCTTATTCATTCTTCATATTACCTCACAATAAAAAATGCAGAAGCTGCTGTACCTTGCAAAGTACTTAAACATCTGACACTTTTTTTGCACCTTACAACGAAAAAGATTAATATTGTAATTATTGTATTATAATAAACTTAAATATGATTGAAATACTCATTCATGTTAGTAACTCCTTTAATTAGGTAAAACCATAATATGGATCTATTGGACACAGATTGATGTTTTCAAGCCTTCATTTTAACTATTCATAATGATTTTTCCAATTAAAGCCAATTAAAACATTACATTTAGGATTAGACTATGGATTCACACCAATTTAAAAAACTCCCAATTTCAATATAGAAATTTGGGCTTAAGAAAAATGGTTGTAACTTTCAAAGGTATTTTTAATCTTATAAATTAACCTCATTAGGACAAATATTCTAACTGATTGAATACGCCTGAATTTTATTGGGTTTTTATATCTTAGACTAACAAAAAGTGGTACGTAATTGTAAATAATCAAAATGTTTTTTTCCTCTTTTTCTATTTCTGTCGTCCATTTTTACAGTTTGTGGCTCAGTCCAACTGTCAGCAGTTTCTCAACACTGTCTGGTTTGGCGAGATGGCCAGTTACAGACGCAAACACACCTGCCTTAAGATGGGCACGGTGCTGAGTGTGGCGTTGCTCTGGCCGCTCCTCTCTGTCTGCTACCTGCTGGTACCCCGCTCTCGAGTTGGTCAGATAATTCACACGCCGTTCGTAAAGTTCATCATCCACAGTGCCTCCTACTTCTCCTTCCTGCTGCTGCTCAACCTTTACTCTATGATCTACAATGGAGACAAAAAGAACCTAATGGGCCCTCCGCTGGAGATGATCGATTACCTGCTGATCCTCTGGATCATAGGTAAGCGTTTATCCTGTAATTGATTACCCTGGTGTGGTCGAAATATTTAGTCCAAAACAGGACTTAAGATTTGTGGAGGGAAAAATTACCCTGAATGTAACGTCTTCAATGGTGAAAAGTGTCTGTGCCAAAGCAGCAAACAGGTAGGCTGGAACAAGCAGGATGAAGATACATTCAGTCATATAAGATCTATTAGAGGCTGCAAAAGATTTTAGATGAAGAGAGATGTTCACTTTCTAGCAGGGGAAACAAAAATATATTTTTTTACGATTCATGGGTTTAAAGGGTCTAGTAAAAGTCCAAACACAAGTCTAATTTATAAAACTGATGTCTATGAAAGCGTATATGATGAATAGTGCATGAGTGCACTATTAAGAAAGGAAAAAGGACAAAAATACTACTTCTTAGGATTTGCAAAGCTAACAGAGACACTCTCCGTGAAAAGGATTTCTTAGGAAAACAATGTATGTTTTCCTTCCACTAAACTATTATGCATTACGTTTGTTGGTCTCTTAAATTAAATCCAAATATAATACATAATATAGGTTTCGGTTTTATTTTTTAGAACGGTGACAAATTTCAAGGGGTGTTAATATTTCTGTAAATTACATTAAATAAATGCCAGACCTTGCTTATAGGACGCAGCAAAAAAAAAAAAAGTCCAGTTTATGAAGAGAGAGCAGCCTCTCTCCCTACCTTCCTCATCTGCTGAGAAGCCATTATCATCACGCCATTTGGGTCTCATTAATGGCTCTGGTTTCTTGGTCGGGATATATCTAAGTGGCAGTAAAATCTTGCTGTTTTTCCTTGCTTCCACATGCTGAAGGTCTCCTTCTTTATACCCCTTGGTTGATAAAGCTTCCCATTAGCAGTTTCTGACAGGTAACAAAATCCTGCATAGTGATTCTATTGGTTTATTAAATGTTACAGAAACGCATGTAGAATAGTTTCCAATTAAATGTCAGTTGTGATTTAAAAAAGAATAAAAACAAACTGGGTTTTGTAAGTCTTGAATAAAGATAAACATTATAATATTATATTTGTATTAACTATTTTGAATGAACATCAGAGGATTTGTCAATAATTTATCAAAGATGATGAAGATGTGATCTAAACAGCAGGGGTCCTTTTGCATCAACACATCATCCTCTAGGAGCCAAAAGAAGAGGATTAGAGGCTGTCAGGATTAACCTTCATTAACATATTTTGCTATCAGGATGCAAGCAGCTATTAAAGCTCTTGTTTGAGTAGGATGTTCACACTCTGTGATCACACATTAGCCAGCATTTTTCTCTTGTTGTTCACTCTTGCTCTTCTGCTGCACCCTTCTTCTCATCTTTCTCTTGCTCCCTTGAGCCAGTTGCCTATCATTAATGGATAAATCAGATGCTGTCAGACTGAGTATGTTTGCTCTCGGCTGCACGGATGCGTCTCTCTCATGTTGTGTTTGATCGTCTCATTTCTCAAACACAATGAGTGTGGGTAGAAACAGCTATTAGGGCTTTTATAAGGCTGTCGCTTTTTTCCTGACTTCCTTTTAAAACTCCTGACAGAGTTATCACATTGGATATTTTTATAACCTCTGTACCCACAGAATTAATGGTGCAGTTGACTTTATTTTTGCAAATGTGTTTTGCTGTTTTTCATAAAAATAAAAAAAATAATACTGCCCCTTTTTAAGAAATTATTCATGCTTTCTTAAATGTATTTTCACAGCGTCGTTTTTTTCCCTTGCGGCTCCATCAGAGAAATGATTTATGTGTTTTATCAGAAAAAAAAAATCCATGTCTTTAAGAATCAACGTGTTCAATTTTGCACCCTTGTAGGAATGGTGTGGTCGGACGTGAAGCGCCTGTGGTACGAGGGGCTGGAAGACTTTCTGCAGGAGTCCAGGAACCAGCTGAGTTTTGTCATGAATTCTCTTTATCTGGCAACCTTCACGCTTAAGATAGTCGCTCATAGCAAGGTAAAACAACATTACATGTGTAAAAAAAATCATACATATTGAAAAGATAGTTATTGAATATCAAAATTTAAGCACAGATTTTATTTTTGTTAAAGAAAATCTCCATTTAACACTTCTTACAAGGGATGTCAAAATAGGTGTGAGATAAAATCAGTGTGTCCCTCAGAAAGTTTTATTATTTTAGCTAAAAACTATCTGTGTGTTTAGATATCAAAGCACAGCCGATGTTCTAGAAATAAGTTGTTCTCTTTAAGATTTTCTTTTTTTTTATCTGCAGTTCAAAGAGACACAGACAGAGAGGAAGAACTGGGACGCCTTCCATCCCATCCTGGTGGCTGAGGGCCTCTTTGCCTTCGCCAACGTTCTGAGTTACCTCCGACTCTTTTTCATGTACACCACCAGCTCCATTCTGGGGCCTCTGCAGGTTAGTATGCACTTACATATATAAGGATTATGTACTTTGTGTTTTCAATGATATTTTTGTCACACTGGCACAGACAGACGATCACACCACCCACTCTCTTCCTCAAGGGCAAGCCTGCGCTTAACGCCACACCAGCTGCGCTTTCTATCTGATAACGCCCTCATTGGCATTAAATACAAGCACTGTTTCTTTTGTTATCTTACAGGGATACATTTTTTGTGTGCAGATAATAAAGTAATCAAAGTACACCAAACCTTCACATATTTTTGTCATCTGCATTTCCTATTCTGCTCCTACTACTTTTTAAAAAAACCTGCTTTTGTACTCTGAAATGTTTTAGATATGTTTTTTGTATTTTGGTGGTTTTGAAGCAGGTTGGGAAGTTTCTGAGGCTTTGGGATACTTTTTAAAAAGCTTTAAGATTGATTACTGTCAAAAATCAAGCAAATAATCCAAACCTTGTGCCATCTTGACAGCCAGGATGTGTGCAAATCGTAAACATGTTATAGAGAAGATGTTTGTTAATATGGTCAGTAACTCCCTCTTATTCTTTTTTTTTAAGTTAAACTTATCTGAAGCCTTTTCAGTCACAAACACATCCAATGCAATCACAGCATGCTCACTACAGATCCAAGGCAGTGCAAAAGTATTCATATTCAGAGAACAAACTGATGGGGAATTTCATGATACAGATCAACACTAGCAAGCACAAATCTCTAAGTTGGAAGGAAATGCCACATGTTTTTATTCATATATATATTTTACAAATATGCTTATGAAATAAAGCAGGGCATGTCCCTTTGGTCAATACTAGGAAATAATTTTATGGGAATTAAAGCTTTGTACACCTAAAAGCTCAAATGATTGCTTGAGTTCATCAATTGAGGATAAGTCTAAAGTTCTATTAAATTATTCAAGTAAATATGCTTTCATTTGACCATTCCATTATAGTCTTGGCTTAGTTCTGTTTAGAGTTAATTAGCTGCTGTGTCATGATGGGTTTCAAAGTTTGTCCACATGCAGTAACAACTCAGAGGCTGGGTAAAAGTTAAAGAGTTTATTGAGAGGTATGGAACTCAGATAGACTAACAGAGCAACTCAGAGGGACAAAACAAGAGACACGAATGATTCCTTCCAAGGCTTGAATGACCAGGCTTATCCAGAAGATCAGGAATTAATCCTGCCGAAGACCACAAAGGAGACAAAGGGTTAGATCTGAAGACTAAGAGAGACGAAAACTCAAAATCAGACACTGCTAAGCTCTGAGAGGCTAGATTACCCAAAACTGGAAAACACTCTGGTGAAGAGGTGGTGACAGTCTGCTGCTCATATACTCCTCTGGTGATGACCCAAAGAGCCGCAGGTGTGGGTGGAAAACCGGAAGAGGACCTGCAGGCCAACAGGGGAAAGGGCACCATCTAGTGGATGGATAGAGACAAAAAAGGAGCACAAAAACATTCCCCCACAAACAGAAACCCTAACATGCTGGAAGGAGCTAGCACATAGTACAGCTGGATTCTGGATTTATGCGATGAATAAATTAAACAGATGGACTTTGCTTACTTAGTCATAAGATTTTATTAAGGGGTATCGGGCTAAAGAAAGTTCCTCATTTGAGTTGATGTTTCTCTTAAAATTCTAATAAAACACGTGGGTAATGAGATTAATATGTAGCAAAGAGTGTAAAAGCCAAGAGGTGTAAATACTTTTGCATGGCATTGTAAAGTGCTGTCAACCAAAAAGCATCCAACATGACCAAAACATGTGAAATACTTTGTCTAGTTTGGCTAGTTTTTTTATGGAAATCACTTCACTAATTATTGACTCGCTCTTTTCTAATAGTTGCATTGAATTAAGTTAAGATTATTTCACAAGAATGAAATCATAATCCTACATTTCTTCTCTTCACCTGTTAAAAATCTGAAATCTGCATTTTACATTTACCATTCATTCTCTTCTGGGGTTTTTTCTGGGTCAAAAGTGTTCCTTGTTCTTAAATCAATTGTGTCTACAAGAAATATTGATAAAAACAGCAGATGTCCAACTTCTCTAGCCTTCTGTCTAGAATTTCCTTTCCTTTCCTCTCCAGCATGCGTGATCTGTATTACGTAACACAGTCCTCAGGTATGCAGCCGTATATTTCCAGGGATGCCTTCCTGTCATTAAGTCTGGGCACAGTTTGTGGTAGGCTTATAAAACACTAATTCTACATTGCAGATCGTAAACACGTCATTCCAGCTTCAGTCTCCTTTTGCCTTTTTGCTTCCCCTCTCTCCTGTCTCCCTGCCTCCCTCATGCTGTGATATCAACCCGTGACTTGCAAGGATGGAAAAATGATTAGCTCTGGAAACAGCTGCACTCACATGTGAGACACACCTCTCCCAGCCAATGTGCACGCACCCACACATTTCAGCACTCTTGTGATATCTGGCCAAACCCACTCGTCCATCCAGCCGCACCCAGAAATTCCCTCCATCCAATGTTCAAGCACCCAGACAGTGACTCAAGACTATGGGGGTTGCTGACAGGACGGTTCCTCTGAATTGGACTTTCCTGGAGAGCATCAGTCATGTACTATTGGCATAATTTTCCCCCCTGCTGAGCTCAGCAACAGCGACTGGATGTGTGAATATTTGCTTGCTCACTCACCGGTCTTTACCTCCCTGACAGACTTGATCCATCACACCTGATGGTTAACTCCACACAGGAATGCTCTTGAGAGTACAAGCACAAGCTGTCCTCAAGTTATGCAATCTATCATATTTGTATAGGTTTCTGAGTAATTACAATACTGTTACAGAGAAATACTGTTTTCTAATGTATCTCTTGTGTAGAATAGTCCTCTAGACTCGCAAGAACCATAAAAAGCTTTGAATTAAATAAATGTTTCATTTTAGACGGAAAATGTTTTTAGAAATCAAAGTACAGGATTTTAAACAGTGCATCATGTCACACAGATTATTAATGTCCCTGTTGGAGATGCACCAATTCAGGTGTTTCTGATCCAATCTGATACCTGGACAGAGCTGAACAGATGCCTGATGGGACTTCAAAAGACAAACAGACCCACAGCATCTCAGATCGTGTGTGTTTTCATAAAATTGGACATGCGTTTCTTTACATATTTACTTCTCTTTTTACTCCAGGCCCACCTGGAATGTTTACTGCAACTGAAAATAGATCAACCAAAGCCCAGCATTCTGGTTGAAGTCCCAGTATAGTTCTGCAGACTCTACACCTTTTTGTAGACTTATGCTTGGATTCCATACATTTTGTCTTGGCTCACAAAACTTTAAAAAATAGATATTTTTTGTTTTATATATAAAAGTAAATTAACATAAAATCCATATAGTGTATTTATCTCCTTGTATGTGTATTCAAATTTTCCTTTTTAAATAGACTTAATATTGTTAATTTATATTGCTACAAAGCAAAAAAAAATTATTATGGGTTTATTTGTATTTTTTTGTTTGTATAGAAATTTTCTACCAGGATTGTCATGGAACTGGGTATTGGTTTGCATTACTGGGATATTTGGTCAACAATTATATCTGCCAGTGTTTGACTTAAACACTAAATCCTTTTCAGTCAATATTAGGAGCAATTACATCCTGGCTCTGTTTGTATAGTTACTAAGCTGGGCTTTATGTCAGGTTTGCCAAGGAAGGGTACAACCTCAGCTCAGATCCTAAATCACCCGTGTACATAGTGGTTGGGGAATTTATAAATGACAAGAGAATAAATCACCCTAACAGACCAACCCTTCTGCTCGAGGGGACTGGGTTTCATTTCAGCACCAACACCTTGGCCATCATTCACCCGGAGGTGGAGACAGAGCGGTCAGTCTGGAAACACTGTTTGGTTGTGATTTAGTTACTGTGACGAACTTGTTTGAGCATCCTTTTTAACAGATAGGGCCACTAAGGTTTAAAAATAGCAGGCTTCCAGTAATCTTGCAGGAGTTTTTTTTTTCTGCCCTCTTTGTCTTCCCTTGGGTACAGAGGACTCCGAGCTTCCCAGCTGTTGGATAAGGTATGTTTAAGGTATCTAGATGGGGGCAGACTTGTAATTCTTTGATCTTCTAAAATATCAAATAAAAATATAAATTGAACTTGATTGATCCATTCCAATAGTGAGCTGCCACTGTTGAATGCCTGGGGAGCAATCTGTGGTTAAGGGTCTTTCTCAGAGAGCCAGAGTTGCAGTCTGTGGGAGTGGGTTTCAAACTCACAACCTCAGGATTCCAAGCCCTATACCCTACCCTCTAGGCGGCCACTCCCCCTTTTGTTATGGTTAAAACCACCACCTCAGTTAAAAAAACTACATTCAAATTTTATTTCCCTGTTGTTACCTAAAGTGTTATGTGTCATTAAAAAATCCTAAATGGCACATCAGACTTAATTAAAAAAAAAATCTGTATCTACCTGAAAAAAATAGGTGGATCTCTGCTGCATAATGTAAATGTATTGACCTTACCATTATTAATATGTTCTTTTACATGTGTGTTTTCTGTTTACAGATATATTTCTATGTAATGTAATAATGACAAACACTGAAAGCTTTCAATTATACTATTAAGTCATATTCTTTGAGTAAGCTGTGTTCCCAGACCTGAAAATAAACGACACGTGTCAATTTTCTACAGATCTCCATGGGTCAGATGCTACAAGAGTTTGGAAAGTTTCTGGGCCTCTTCCTGCTTGTATTATTCTCCTTCACCATTGGGCTCACCCAGCTGTATGGAAAAGACTACGTTAAAGACAGCAAGGACCAGATTAAACCAAGCAAGGACTGCGAGGGCATCTTCTGCCAGCAGCAGAGCAACGATGCATTTCACACGTATGTAGAACTATTCAGATAGTTCAAATTCATAAGTTTTAGACTTACAACTAAATTTACATGAATAACTGGAATATTTCCAAATGCAATGAAAATAGAAAAGGTTATTCCTATATTTAAATCTGGAGATAAGCATACTATTAGTAATTATAGACCTGTGTCCCTTCTGTGTCAATTTTCAAAAATACTAGAAAAAGTGTTTAGTAAAAGGTTAGATAATTTCATTGAAAAACAAAACATTTTGACAGATTGCCAATATGGTTTCAGAGAAAACCGATCCACTTCAATGGCACTGATGGCATTAACAGAAGAAATTACAGACAATATGGATAAAAAGAAATTTGCAATTGGTGTATTTCTGGATCTCAAAAAAGCTTTTGATACCATCAATCATGACATGTTTAAAAAAACTGGAAAGGTTTGGAATTAGAGGGGTGGCATTAAACTGGCTTAGGAGCTACATTGGAGAAAGGAAACAATTTGTAGAAATAGATGGTCAGAAATCAGATCTACTAAAAATAACTTGTGGAGTTCCGCAGGGATCAGTTTTGGGACCCAAACTGTTCAATCTGTATATAAACGACATAGTTAAAATATCAAACCTTATAGAGTACATTCTATTTGCTGATGATAGAAGTATCTTCTGTACTGGAGA